GAATCTTATAATAATATTTTGCTGGTAGTTTCAACAGATGGAGCCAACAAAGTTTGCGAGGGAAATATTTTTAGTGCAATATAATATTTAATGAGAATATTTTGCTATGACTGCTTAAATATTCAGGTGAGCGATACAGGCCCTCTTGGGCCTCTTGTTCACTTTAAGGTTACAAATGTTGGATAAATACAAGATGTGCAATGCAAGCCAATTGGGCCTCTTGTTTTAACACACCAGGCCATTTATGACTTTATGATGAGTAGTAGAATAAAAGTATGTTAGTCAACATTGGAGTTTTGGTATGGACAGATACATTACAAGTAACTGTAACCTTTCGGCTTTACAATGTAGTAAAATGATTGAAGGTGTCAGAAATACCATTTCTAAGTGTAAATATAACAGGTTCATATATCACAGCAATTGCAATGTTATTGTGCAACATTTCGATTACTAGTATGGTAGGTACTCTGTCATCTTCACTAGAGATATTTTTTCCCTTACCCTGGACAGGTGAGTCCACACTTTTCCTGGCGTGAGATATCCTTGTCTCACCCTAGGGTTGAGATGGGGGGATTCCCCTATTCATAACAATTATATGACATCACGTCAACACTGCATCAGCGTCACGCCAGCAATGCATCAGTGTCACGCCAGCAATGCATCAGCGTCACGTCAACACTGCATCAGCGTCACGCCAGCAATGCATTTAGCCTGTAATATTAACAATAAGTTATGTATGTGATACACAATGGGTGAACAGGGTAAGAGAAATAGAATCATTAACCCTCTTGGGAGTGAGATATTCTATTAATCTGATGAAGGTGACAAGAGTTCATATCGTACTAGTCATCAAAATGTCGCACATTTAAGTTACATTGGCTGTTATATATGAACCCATATACAATTTGTACTTGCAAACCTGCGGAACTTGTTAAGAAAGGCAAGGTTTTTGCTGATCGCATATCTACTTCTTTTATAATCTTTCAGCTGTTATAATGTTGCCCCTGACCTGAACTGTTATATGACCATGCTGAAGTGTTACGCTGTTAAAGGAGATATGAGTAAGATCGAAGAGGTAGGTAAAGTTTCTGTTATTTATACAATTATCAAAGACTAAATCATTCAAGCATTGACCGTGAACAGAATCGTGCCATGAAAGTTTGCCAAAATCAGTAACTAGAGCCCCGCTTGCAAAGAATATGGGTGTCATATAGTAATAGCTATAGCCTGTCAGTCCCTCTGTCCATTGTTTGCTATTGCACAATAACTTGAGCAAGTAACATCCAATTTTAATTAAAATTTTGTAAGCATGTACAATGTACAAAGCAAAAGGTGAGTTTGAGAAAAAGCTATGTAATAATTTATCATACCACACTAATTGGTTATTGTTTTGGAACAATATTGTTATCAAATATGACTGGATTTTCACAAAACTTCATTAATACCTTGTATATAATCATGTACTATTCAAAGACAAAGGGTTAGTGTAAGTTTAAGCAAAATTAAGCTAAATTACAAGCATGGGAAATAATCCTTATAAAGAGATATTTATATATTGCATGAAGGTAATTCATTTCCCTCACAACAAAGTTAGATGGGGGAGTGGGGGATTAGTTTAATGGAATCAGATTTCTTGTTCCCCCTTGTTTCCTAGTTGTGCATATTTGCTTTTGAGACTGATCAGATAAACAAAATGGCCGACAGACAGCCATCTTGGATTTTGAAAGTGAAGGTTTGTTATCACTATTTCTCAGGAAGTACTGTAGAGATCTTTCTCAAATTTGACATGTAGGTTCCCCTTGGTCTGTAGTTGTTTATGCTTAATTTAGAGACTGATCGGATTAACAAAATGGCTGACAAGCAGCCCAGTTTGTTATCGCTTTTTCTGAGGAAGTGCTAGAGGGATCTTTATCAAATTTAATATGTAGGTTCCCCTTGGTCTCTAGTTGAGCATATTTAATTTTAAGACTGATCAGATTAATAAAATGACAAACAGGCCACCATCTTGGATTGTGACATTAAAAGTTTGTTTTCGCTATTTCTCAGGAAGTACTGGAGAGATCTTTCTTAAATTTGACATGTAGGTTCCCCTTGGTCTGTAGTTGTTTGTTTGTTTATCCTTAATTTGAGACTGATCGGATTAACAAAATGGCCAATAAGCAGCCTGGTTTGTTATCGCTATTTCTGAGGAAGTGGTAGAGGGATCTTTATCATATTTTATATGTAGGTTCCCCTTGGTCTCTAGTTGAGCATATTTAATTTTGAGACTGATCAGATTAATAAAATGACTGACTGGCAGCCATTTTTCTTTTTTAACAGTTAAGGTTTGTTGGTGCATCAACAAACCTTAACTGTTAAAAAAAAAAAAATGGCTGCCTGTCAGTAATTTTATTAATCTGATCAGACTAAAATCAGGTTTTATGCCCAACTGTATATAGAGTTATGGCCCTTTGTTTATTTCTAATATCGAAAAGAGATATGGTCCTTTGTTAATTTTTTATACCAAAGTTTGTCTATTGGCTTTTAAGGGGAGATAATGTTTTTGTTCACATAAACAAAATTTAGTTGTTCATGATTACTTTAGGACTTATTTATATTAGATAAACAAAAAAGGTTTGCTGGTGCTATTTCTCAGGAATAACATGAGGGATCTTTTTCAAATTTTATATGTAGGTTCCCCTTGATCCCTAGTTGTGCATGTTTTATTTTGAGACTGATCATAAAAACAAAATGGCCGAAGGAAGAACTTAACAGATCTTTCTCATATTGCAATGATCAGTTTTATTAACTCACCTGGCCCGAAGGCCCAGGGAACTGATATTGGGCCTGTAGCATGTTTTGATGAAAGGCTACCAAGTTTGTTCAAATAAATGACCTTGACCCACTTTCAAGGTCACAGGGGTCAAATATGTTAAAATCTTCAAACGACTTCTTCTCACCAATTAACCAAAAGGCCCAGGGTACTGATATTAGGCCTGTAGCATGCTGGGATGAAGGGCTACCAAATTTGTTCAAATGAATGACCTTGAATCATATTCAAGGTCACTGGGGTCAAATATGTTGAAAAAAAAAATAAACAACTTTTTCTGAATAACCAAGAGGACTAGAGTGATGACATTTTGCCATTAACATGCTGGGATAAAGGGTTACCAAGTTTGTTCAAATGAATAACCTTCACCAATATTCAAGGTCACAGTGGTCAATATATGTTTAAATCTTTAAATAATTTGTTCTGTATAACCAAAAAGTCCAGGGTAATGATATTTTGCTAGAAGCATGCTGGGTTGGAAGACTATAAATTCTGTTCAACCTAATGTCCTTGTTTGACATTCAAGGTCACATGACGGTTGTCATATTTAAATATTTAAATAGGTTCTTATTAATCAAACACTGATATTCTGCCTGTAGTTGTATTTTAGTCCACTTTTAAGATAACAAGTGTGAAATTAATACCAGGTGAGCGATTCAGGCCCATTGGGCCTCTTGTTTCTTCATTAAATTAAAGCCAATTAAGTTTCATAATTAAGGTTAAGGGTACCACTGCATCAGTGATAAATGCAAAGAAGAGTGCCACTCAGAGATGTTTTACGTCTACTCCCTTCTATATATAAGATGAAGCAACCAAACTTGACACTCTTCATTTATAGTTTGTGTTTTGCAACACTGGTTCAGTGTAAGCTTTGTAGCGTAAAGGTCACGGATCGTCCAATGCAGTTTTTTTTTCTGTTTTTCTCTTTTATTTCTATTTTCAAGTATTTGAAGATCAAACAACCATAATTCCGTGAAATGCATTGCAGCTCTGCTAACGCTACTGATCACATTTCCCGCAATTTGCCAGCCTCTGGTTTATGTATACACCGTCATTTTAATGAGGATGCAATAACGGCATAGCCACCTTGGTGATCAGGTCACAGATCTTGGAAACAGAAAACAACCCTTTTGTTAGGCCTAGAACATCTTGTCAAAGTGTTTGGTAAATAAAAAAGTTTTTGATTTCCCAATGAAACGTACAGTTATTATCAACACAAACATTTTAAAACAATCATATGGAAAAGTTATTTCACGATTAATTGTTTAAACGATGACGTTTTATTAGTTTTGAAAAGTTTTCTGTCCAAGTTTGCTGATCTCCACGCTCTGTAAAATAGATCAGGGTTTTCCTCTCAGAGGTGCGAATGATGTCTTATTTCTTCGGGAATGGAGAGGATCATGTCAGGTTTTAGACCCGAGTTTGATTGATCATGATACAGTTAAATATGTTAGATACATTTGAATTTTCTGATTTATATGTCTTATAATTATATCATCTCTAAATGAAGTTATGATATGGGTAAAAAACAAGGAAAGAAAAGGATTTGTGGTGATGAAAAAGTTTATAAACACTGTTAATTAAAATAATGAAGTAGAAATATGCTCAATTTATCAAAGACTATTATTCCTTGAGTTTGCTAAATCCAATTCTTTATTGCTAAAGAAAACTATATGGTTTTAGCAGAAATTTTGATCTAGAGTTTGCAGAGTGCAGCATGTGATTTATGTGGAATTCTTCTTTTGAAAATGACTTCACAATAGTGATACGGTACTGTTTAGGCAGTGATACAGTACTGTTTAGGTAGTGATACAGTACTGTTTAGGTAGTTATACAGTACTGTTTAGGTAGTAATACAGTACTGTTTAAGTAGTAATACAATACTGTTTAGGTAGTGATACAGTATTGTTTTGGTAGTGATACAGTACTGTTTAGGTAGTGATACAGTACTGTTTTGGTAGTGATACAGTATTGTTTTGGTAGTGATACAGTACTGTTTAGGTAGTGATACAGTACTGTTTAGGTGGTAATACAGTACTGTTTAGGTAGTAATACAGTACTGTTTAAGTAGTAATACAATACTGTTTAGGTAGTGATACAGTATTGTTTTGGTAGTGATACAGTACTGTTTAGGTAGTGATACAGTACTGTTTAGGTTGTAATACAGTACTGTTTAGGTAGTCATACAGTACTGTTTAGGTAGTTAGATAGTACTTTTTAGGTAGTTAGACAGTACTGTTTAGGTAGTTAGACAGTACTTTTTAGGTAGTAATACAGTACTGTTTAGGTAGTTAGATAGTACGGTTTAGGTAGTTAGACAGTACTGTTTAGGTAGTAATACAGGACTGTTTAGGTAGTTAGACAGTACTGTTTAGGTAGTAATACAGTACTGTTTAAGTAGTAATACAATACTGTTTAGGTAGTAATACAGTACTGTTTAGGTAGTAATACAATACTGTTCAGGTAGTGATACAGTACTGTTTAGGTTGTGATACAGTACTGTTTAGGTAGTGATACAGTACTGTTTAGGTAGTAATACAGTACTGTTTAGGTAGTAATACAGTACTGTTTAAGTAGTAATACAATACTGTTTAGGTAGTGATACAGTACTGTTTAAGTAGTAATACAGTACTGTTTAAGTAGTGATACAGTACTGTTTAGGTAGTAATACAATACTGTTTAGGTAGTGATACAGTACTGTTTAGGTTGTAATACAGTACTGTTTAGGTAGTAATACAGCACTGTTTAGGTAGTAATACAGTACTGTTTAGGTAGTCATACAGTACTGTTTAGGTAGTAATACAGTAATGTTTAGGTAGTAATACAGTACTGTTTAGGTAGTCATACAGTACTGTTTAGGTAGTAATACAGTAATGTTTAGGTAGTAATACAGTACTGTTTAGTTAGTAATACAGTACTGTTTAGGTAGTGATATAGTAATGATTAGGTAGTAATACAGTACTGTTTAGGTAGTCATACAGTACTGTTTAGGTAGTAATACAGTAATAGGTAGGTATACAGTACTGTTTAGGTAGTAATACAGTAATAGGTAGGTATACAGTACTGTTTAGGTAGTAATACAGTATTGTTTAGGTAGTGATATAGTACTGATTAGGAAGTAATACAGTACTGTTTAGGTAGTAATACAGCACTGTTTAGGTAGTAATACAGTACTGTTTAGGTAGTAAAACAGTACTGTTTAGGTAGTGATATAGTACTGATTAGGTAGTAATACAGTACTGTTTAGGGAGTAATACAGTACTGTTTAAGTAGTAATACGATACTGTTTAGGTAGTGATACAGTACTGTTTAGGTAGTGATATAGTAATGATTAGGTACTAATACAGTACTGTTTAGGTAGTAATACAGTATTGTTTAGGTAGTGATATAGTACTGATTAGGAAGTAATACAGTACTGTTTAGGTAGTAATACAGTATTGTTTAGGTAGTAATACAGTACTGTTTTGGTAGTGATACAGTATTTTTTAGGTAGTGATACAGTACTGTTTAGGTAGTGATATAGTACTGTTTAGGTAGTAATACAGTACTGATTAGGTAGTTAGACAGTACTGTTTAGGTAGTAATACAATACTGTTTAGGGAGTGATACAGTACTGTTTTGGTAGTGATACAGTATTTTTTAGGTAGTGATACAGTACTGTTTAGGTAGTAATACAATACTGTTTAGGGAGTGATACAGTACTGTTTTGGTAGTGATACAGTATTTTTTAGGTAGTGATACAGTACTGTTTAGGTAGTTATACAGTACTGTTTAGGTAGTAATACAGTACTGTTTGAGTAGTAATACAATACTGTTTAGGTAGTGAAACAGTACTGTTTTGGTAGTGATACAGTATTTTTTAGGTAGTGATACAGTACTGTTTAGGTTGTAATACAGTACTGTTTAGGTAGTAATACAGTATTGTTTAGGTAGTGATATAGTACTGATTAGGTAGTAATACAGTACTGTTTAGGTAGTACATGTAATACCTTAAAGGGTTGAACTGGTCTGCTATATAAACATTATATTATGATTTTCAGACATATTGCTAAATAATTTTACATTAACTGTTAACTCGAAAGCCACCATTTTGATGATTCAGCACCAGTATTATATTTGATTTCAGTTAATCCTTACTGCAGAAAAGGAGGTGGGGATGAAGCAGCTTCATCGTCTTCAGCTTCTCGTGCCCCTCATTTTTAATAAACATGAGGCAATAGCAGTGAAGGTAATAATATCAGTTCACTCCGTGTTGTCTGTTCTCACAAAATAAATGTGTGGAACGTTGATGTTTGTTCCTATATATTGAGTACACTTGTTAGCTCACCCACCCTAACAAAAATGACATTGACCTACTTTCAAGGTTACAGTCGTAAAATGTGTCAAACGGCTTCTTCTGAAGAACTGAAAGGTATAGAATCTTCATATTTGGCTGGTGGCTTCCTGGGATAGAATCCAACAATGTTAAGAATAAAATGACATTGACCTACTTTCAAGGTCACATGGGTCAAATGTGTTAAACACTTCAAACAACTTCTTCTGAATAACTGAAAGGTATCAAATCTTTATATTTAGCTGTTGGCTTCCTTGAATAGAGCCCGACAAAGTTTGAGAATGAAAATTACCTTGACCTACTTTCAGGGTAACAGGGGTCAAATATGTCAAAAACATCAAGCAACTTCTTCTGAATAATCAAAAGGCATAGAATCATAATAGTTGGCTGGTGTATTATTGGTATAGAGCTCACCAATGTTTGCAAATGAAAATAACATCAACCTACATTAAAGGTCATAGAGGTCAACAACATTTCAAACGATTTGTTCTGAAGAACCAAAAGGAATGGATTCATAAGATTTGGCTGGTAGCTTCAACAGATGGAGCCGACAAAGTTTCAAGTGAAATATTTGTAGTACAGTATAATATTTAATAAGAATATTTTGCAATGACTGCTTAAACATTCAGATGAGCGATACAGGCCCTCTTGGCCTCTTGTCTAAAATTGTTTGTTTGAATATATAGAGCTCTCATGTCTAACATTGTTATTTGTTGCCATTTATAGAGCTCTTATGTCAAAAAGTGTTTGTTGCCATATATGGAGCTCTTATAATGTCTAAAATTTCTTGAAACAACTTCTTCATAGCTGCTTATTGGAATTCAACCAAATTTACTGGATGCATTCTTAGGTGGAAGGGATTCAAAATTGTACAAGTGGAGGGCTTACCCCCAGGGGGCTGAGGGGCAGAGCCAAAAGAGTGAAATTTTGTCATGTTGCTTGAAATGATATCTTCTCTGAAACCAAGAGATGGATATCAAGCATATTTGTCTGGAAGCATTCCTATGTGTTGGGGAATCAAAATTGTACAAATTGAAGTGTTTACCTCAGGGCTAAAGTGCCAGAACCAAAAAGGGCTAATTTGGCCAAATTGCTTTGTTAATTCTTCTCTGAAACTAAGAGATGAAAAGTAACCATATTTGGTCAGAAGCATTTTCAGGTGGCGAGGATTCAAAATTGTACCAATGGATCAGGAGGGGCTAACCATAGGGGTCTGAGGGGTGGTGCCAAGACGGGGTAATCCAAACATATTGAGTTCAGCAATTTTTCTCTCTTGATCCTAGGATGAACATCAGCCATTTGTTTGAAAGACTTCTTATAGGTGATGGGGATACAAAATTGTACAAATGCAAGGGCTGACCCGGGCCAGCAGGCCCAAATATGGGCACTTGGGTCATATTGCTTGAAGTGTTTTCATTACCGTAACTAAGGGATGGATATCAATCAGAATTGTTTGGATGCATTATCAGTTGATGGGACTTCAAATTTTACAAGTTGAAGGGCTGACCCCCTGGAGGTATTATCTACAATTGCTGAGCACAAAGATTGTGATATACATATGCTAGCAGGTTTGGTCCAGGGGACTGGTCATATCCCTTAGATCGCATTTGCCATACAACTAGTACTATCATCGAGAATCTTTGCCGTGATTGCCTTAAATATCCTTGTGATCAATATTCTCATATCTGACATTTTTGATTGTTCTCATAAATTGAACACACATGTCTAACTATGCTTGTTCCCATATTACAAAGCACACCTGTCTTATATACTTTTTTTCCATATATAGAGCACACATCTTAAATTTATGTGTGTTCATATATCCCTTGTATACAGCACTAATTAATTACATTCCATTTGATATTCCTTACCAGTTGTTCGGCAGCCTCTGTGATACACATCATGATGTGGAAAAGTCTGACATGACTGAGATTGAATACTGCGGGAACCAGCTGGTTGTTAACTTACAGCTTCAGATGGGTTTTAATGTGTATAACCTGTTTACTCGAACTGCACCTTACTTCATACGTAGCTATGCTAGAGGTCCAGCAAAAAAGAAAAATGTAAGTGACGATTTTGTTTTCCCTATTTGAGAGTAAATGTCAATATGACCAGCTGGCTGGCTGGTGTTAATTTTATCTGTTTTCAGCTACAAAATTATGTATCATATCATTTATTATGAGTTCCTGCTGGTGTTTAAAACTGTGCTTGCTATTCATTGACAAAAAAACTGTTAACTAATGACTTGCAATTGGTTGATCAGAATAACTTGTGGAAACTTCAACTGTCTCAAGTCCTGACTAATACACGAGTAAGATAAATGGATTGATGCACATATAGTATATATAAAAATACATACATATTGGTTTTGAATCATAATTAAGATTTTTGATAATTTTCTTGTTTTAAAACAATGAAATAATGAGAGAAGAAAAGGCAACTTTTCAATGAGTAATTTATTTTTGGATATAGGTCCATCTTCAGGGTTACGGGATGCTGGATAGGACAGCTGCCAGTCTCACAGTACAGATGATCAAGAATGATGTTGTTACTTGGGACAGAATGTTGCTTGAAGCTAAAACCATTAGTGAAGGTAAATCCATGCAAATAAAATATGACAGATGTGTCCCGTTCAACTTTCTCATTTTATTTTATTTTTTTAATCAGTTATAAGTCGTACACTATACTTTAATAGCCCCATTCATAGCCATCATCAGTCATGCTTGAGTGACCACCTGTTGTACACAGCAGATATATATTCAGCATTTTGGTGATATTTGAAGGATACATAAGAGACCTTGGAATGTGTGCAAGTTTGAAGGGTATTGAAGGATTGAAGTATTTAAAGGATTTTGGCTAAGATTTTTCAATCTTTGTAAAATTAAGCGAAACCTGTAATACACTTAAATAAATACTGAATCATTCATCAACGAGTGTTTAGAAGTGTCCCGTTACATGGGTATCGGCAATCAAAGGTGACCACTCCTTACTGGGGAGAATTTTAATGAGCTAACCGGTCATGTGGTCACTTGTGATGTCATAGGTGCAGGTTTGGATCACTGGTCCATATAACAGTAGCTAGAGTTCAGGAGCTTCACCCCTCTTATGTATTTCTGATTTAGTTTAATGGACAGGTTTGACATGTGATTCTATGGCATGAATTCAATTCTCTACCAATTTAAGCCGAAGCCAGGACAAAGTACATAACAATTAACATCGGAGGATGATTCTGATATAATAATAATAATGTACAACGTTGATATAGCACCCTATATTATTTGTAAAATTACTTTAAAGTGCTTTACAATATATGGATAATAGTACAAGTTATAATTGATGAACAAAAAAAAGTCATACAAATCACCATTGTACCTTGATCATGAGTAAGACGGTAAGAAGATAACCATCTTATGCATATAAATGATTATATAAAGGAATGGTACCATGTTTTACCGCAAGTACCCCCCCCCCCCCCCCCCCCTCCTGAGAAAAAAGATGTTTCCACTGTAGTTGTTCATGTTGTAAAAATATCAACTAACAGACAGAATATTTTATAACAGTCACCAAAAGTTGTTAAGTAATGATGGTACTGTTGTTTTTCTTAACTTAGTTTCTATCATCAATTTGTCTCGATAATTCAATTTTATCAAACACCATTTTTATATTTTTTTTATTGATAAGTCAATCAGTACTCTTTAAGACACAAACCAACATTCAGAGGTGTAAAACAAAATAATAGCACGACGACCGGGCTGTCTGGTGTTTGGCTAGTGCCATTACATGATTTGAATATATACCGTACTATGAAGAAATTTATGTATACCAGGCTGAATTGTATTATGAGCAAGAGACATGTTTTTATGGATAAAAGTCTTCCAAAAAACGATTTATTTGATCCAGGAAGCCATGCTTTGTTGACACTGTATTGGTTGATACAAATTTCAGAATGGCAATATGAACGAACTGACCTTGACAGAAAGATTTGATATGAAAAAAAAATGTCAATTTGAAAACGATTATACCTCTTTGTAACAACTTATAAATGTATTTTAAAATGTATTCATAATTTGCTATGTCAGTACAGACTATAGATAGAATGGATTTGGTACAAGCAACATGTTTCGTTTTACATTGAAATCTGCAAAATACACAACCGGTTAAAAAACGAAAGCATGGTTTTCTTTCAGCAACACAACAATGTTTTGTTTTAAGTTAAGCCATCTAGATATCTTGATATTTTGTTATGTTTACATCATATTCCATAATCATGTGTTATAATAATTCATCTTTAATTCACTCATGAATACATAATTCCTTATAAAAAATACCCAATACAGAACCACAGTACTCAGTAAAGAGTACATGTCACTATATGCTATTTACTATTGTGCCTACTTCAGAAACAAAGTTATTTGTAGTATTTAAACTTGGGTTTATGTTGTTTTGCATTCATTTAGCTAATTTGCTTATGTCAGAGACAAAAATTGACATACATTTTTTTTGAGATGGAGACAAAATTAGGGAGGGGGCTTAATTGTGGGCACCCACCCTGTTCCCAGGACATTTACCAAAGTGGGGAGGGGGCTTTTTATATCCTTCTTGAATTTGGCCAGGGTATTTGACTTTCTATGGCAGATGGTATGCTATTCCACAACGTTGCCGAAACCCTCAGCGTTTTCCATAGGTCACAATACAAGATTTTGGGACACACAACCATGATTCTGTCTCAAACCACAGTGATTCTGACAGTTGATACAGGGTAACAAGTCCCTGTAGGTACTGGGGAGCTGTTCCATTCAGTGCATGTGTACACCAAAATTTTGTACTGTGACCTGTATCATACAGGTAACACGCATGCAATTAATAGAGCACAGGCCTAAGTGTAATGTGCTCTTTTCAAGCGAGTAAACAGACATGCTATAGTGTTCTGGATCCTCTGCAGACGACAAGTTAGTTTGTCAGATATAACACAGAGCAGGGCATTACCATATAAAGAAAGGCAGGAGTATTGCCTTTATTTGGTAAGAAATGTTCTTGGCCCATGCAGTTAAATAAACATTCTTAAAAGCAGAAAAGTTTGACCCCTTTGTAAGCAGCAAATTGAAGCAAGGCCTAGGACTAGAACATTTTAACTAGGGTAACCATAAAAAGGTACTTTTTAGTATTGCTCTTTAGATTTTAACCTAAAATGGTGAAAAGACCTGTTGTTTTTATGCTTTTTAGCCCGAAGGGCCAACTACTATAGTAAGCTTATGCCATGGCGCAGCGTCCGTCGACGTTTTCCTTTAAAGTGCTACTAGTCCTTAACGGCTCAGAGGATATTGACCAATTTGGTCTGGAGCATCATTGGCCAAAGGGTTCAATATAGGGTATGCCCCCCCCCCCCCCTTGTGGGCAAAGGGGCGGGGCCAAATAGGGGGAAAATAGGTAAATCTTTAAAAATCTTTTTCTTTTCAACCAATAAAAGGATTTTGACCAAATTTGTTCTAGAGCATCTTTGGACAAGGAGCCTCAAGTTTGTATAAACAAAGAGTGTGCCAGAGGGGTAGGGCCCAATAGGGGAAATAGAGGCAATTGTTTCTCCTACTGTATAAGTCAAGGGATTTAAACTAAATGCAGTCTGAAGCAATTGCTTAATAAGTCTGGACAAACAAATCAATTTTGTATAAACTGAGGTGTGTGGGCCCCCTCCTGTGGGGCAGATGGGTGGGGCCATTAGGGGAAATAGTGGAAAACATTAAAGATCCTTCTCCTACTGTACCGATCAAGGGATTTTGACCAAATTTGGTCTGGAGCATCACTGGCGAAAGGGCTCTTAGTATTGTATAAACATAGGGTATGGCCCCTTGGGGGCAGTGGGGCGGGGCCAAATAGGGGGAAAATAGGTAAATCTTGAAAAAAAATCTTCTCTTTAAATAGAAGGATTTTGACCATATTTGTTCTTAAGCATTTTTGGACAAAGAAGCCTCAAGTTTGTAAAAACAGGAATGGGGCCCAATAAGGGAAATAGAGGATTTTTTTCTCCTACTGTATAAGTGAAGGGATTTCAACCAAATGCAGTCTAAAGCATGCTTACAGACAAACGAATCAATTTTTGTTGATGAAGTGTTTTTTTTTATCAAATTTCTTCTAGAGCATCTTTGGAAAAAGAGCCCCCCCCCCCCCCTCCTTCCACAGATTTACATTAGTTCTTCTTGCAACTTTGTTTCTTGTACTCCTTTGATCAGAAGGTCCAAGATGGCTCACAGGCATCTCTTGAATTTGGAGAATTTTAGTTTGTTAGCAGTATTTCTAGTATGAATTAAGATTTGAACAAAAGTTACCATTAGGTGCATTTACTGTTTGCATCACTCAATCCAACAAGTAAAAGTTTTGAAGAAAGAAAAGATCAATCTTACATAGAACCTTTGAAGATAGTACAATGGTGGACGCAAAGATCCTTCATGAATCTCTTGCCATCCTATTTTGTATATACATGTATTTGAAAAAACCCACATTAAATACAACCAAGGTCACATTCTAATTATGATTTTTATTTCTTTGTAGAATATACAGCCTTGATTTTTCTGGAGGCAAAGAAAGAGGTACATATGCTTTCAGAATTTTAATTGTGACATAATTTCTAGCTCACCTGGTCGGAATTAGGACGACGTGAGCTCATTGCCAACCCAGGCATGGTGTCCAGCGTCCTTGTGCCATCCATCTACTAGATTTTGTTTTAAAGGACTTCTTTTCCAGTTCTATCCGACATGGTACAAATGTTTGTCTCATGGCCACAATTTATAAGCAAGTGTTATTTTTTGTTTTGTTTTGTGGCTTCATTGGAATGCAATATGGCTGCCAAGGTCTCTGATTGGCTGATATATTTTTGACTTCTTCTCCAGTTCTACTTGTCAGATTTCAATCAGACATGGTACAAATGTTGGTCTCATGACCGGAAATAAGTGTTGTTCATTCACTGTCTGAAAGTTTTGGCAAACTGATATGATTGGATTCTGTCTACATAAATGTCATCTTCAGCATAATCTGATTTCTCAAAACTCCTGGTAATTTCTGATGCTGCTCTCACCTAATCCTTTTATGTTGGCTGTTAGTTTTCCTGAACAAATGATGTCACTGCCAAATAGAATCCCAATTACTGAAAGTTATGGTTTATATGACAATTATAGTAGAACGTGAAACTCATACACATGAATTACTGGTCAAAATCGCACCACTGGGTTGACCAATTTTGATGCAGTTTTTGATATATTTGCTATTTGATCAGATAGATTAAGATTATATTCATTTTTATATTCGTTTGGGATATACTTTAAGATCAGTTTTGTGTTAATTTGGTATTTGAGAAATTGTTGCACTGTAGATCACATTTCTAGCTCACCTGCCTGAATGGCAAGTACGATTATGCCTTGGCACAGTGTCCTCCGTCTGTCTGTCGTCCCTCCCAGCTTGTCCTGAACAGCTCGGTGAATTTTGACTAAATTTGGCCTGGAGTATCCTTGGCAAAAGGGGACTCAATTTTGTATAAACAGAAGGTGTGGCCCTACTGGGGACAGAGAAGCGGTGCCCAATCGGGGAAATTTAGGTAAATCTTCAAAATCCTCCTTTCTTCTGTACGTACGATTGGAGGGATTTTAATCAAATTTGATCCAGAGCAACCTTGGGCAAGGGGGACTCAATTTGTATAAACAAATTAAAAGGGTGTGGCCCCTCTATGGGGCAGAGGGGCAAGACGCAATACAGGAACTTGAGATAAATCTTGAGAATCTTCTCCTTTAGTTTGATTGGAGGAATTTTGAACATAATTATATGGATCCAGAGCATTCTTTGACAAGGGAGACTCAATTTGTATTAACAGGCAATGTGGTCCCCCTTGGAGCAGAGGGGTGTTGCCAAATAGAGGAAACATAATTATAAATGTTTAAAATTATTCTCCTTCATTACGATTTGAGGGATTTTAAACAAATTTTGTGTAGAGCATCCTTTCCTGAGGCATAGTGAACTCAATTATGTTTAAAAGGCGGTTGTGACCCCCTCCCTTTGGGAAGAGAGACAAGGCCCAATAGGGAAAATTGAGGGAAATCTTCAAAATCCTCCTTCTTAAGTTTGATTGGAGGGATTTAAGCTAAAATCTTTTTAGAAATCCACCCCAATTCATGGGGGCAGAAAGAAGAGACCCAATGAAGGGTGGGTGTTGCTGAGAGACAGAGCCAGTATTTGGAAATAGTTGCATAATCATCCAGGGGAGCGATACAGGCCCTCTGTGCTGCTTGTCATGACTTAATCTTCAAATTGATTTATTTTCAGGGGATATTGAAAAGCGGATCATATGAACAAATATGTACGTTCATTGAAACAGGACACAGCTCTAAATATTTCACTAGTCAATCCAGAGAGGTAAATATCTATCTATCTATCTATCTATCTATCTATCTATCTATACTGCAATGTTAACACCCCTTTCAAGTACTCTGTACTCGGTCTTATAATAAGTGCAGGGCTCCTGGACTGGCAGTAGTAAAGTAACAGAAAGTGGTAGTGATACATTGTCTATTTGGTAATTAATTTGTAGACAGTTACGTTTCAGGTTAAAAGATGAAAAATTGTGAAGTTAAAAACAGGGGTGGCTTGCTAGGGTCTAGGCAAACTGACGGCGCTAACAGCCGCCTTGAAAGAATCAATAGTAGGAGAGGTAAATATGTCAGGAGGTAGAGCGTTCCACTGGACTATTGCCAAAGGAGAAACTTAATATTTATAATAGTCTTTTGTTATAAGTTTAGTATGCAATTTTCTTTTCTTTAAATGATAAAATAGCTATACTGGAATCACTGTAAACATTATTATCCCCTCACAATGAAAGTTTGAATGGATATAGAATTCTGACCATACGTACATATGTTTGTATGTTACACTCTTTGTCATTGCTCTAACGACTTCGTTTCTCAACAGAATTTCATGAAACATCATACAAGTGTTTGGTATGAGAAAACTTTGAAAATGTTGACGTTTTGGGTAACGTTGAAGGTCAAGGTCACTGGTACTATTTTAAGAAAAACTTTGTCATCACTCTAGCAACTTCATTCCCCAAAGGAATTTCATGAAACTTCGTCCAAGTGTTTGGTATGGCAATGCCTTGAACAATTCTACGTTGAAGGTCAAGGTCACTGTTACTTTTTTAGAAAAACTTTGTCACAGCTCTAGTGACTGCATTCCTCAACAGAATTTCATGAAACTTGATACAAGTGTTTGGTATGACAATACCTTGAACAAGTTCGCGTTTCGGGAAACTGCATTAAAGGTGAAGGTTACTGATACTATTTTTAGAAAAAACTTTGTCATCTCTCCATCGAGTTCATTCCTCAACAGAATTTTGTGAAACTTGATACAATTGTTTGCCATGACAATACCTTCAACAGATGCAGTCGCTAGAGCAGTTACTGTTACATCATTGAATTTTCTATTCATTTCCTCATACATATGGCACACATTGTGTGAATGCGAGGGGATTTGTATCTCTGCTCTCCTGTGAGAATTATTTATGCTTCACAATTGTTTCTGAAACATGAAGGTCAAATTGACTTCATCAATTTTCTTCATCAATTTTCATTTACCTAGGTAATTTAGAAAAAATCATTACCAAATGATAAGTAGTTTTCCTAATGTTCATATCAAAGTTACATTGTCTGTTTTTAAAATTCATAAATTTAAAAAAGTTAGGGTAAAATGTTTCTTAACGATCAAACATACCTGTCAACTCTCAACGTCTGTGCATGTATCTCACTATATATCTTAACCAGTTCATTTTTCATTGTGCTCATAATCTCACAATTTTGAAACTATACAGTCTTGCTGTTATGAAACTCTTTATTCTTCAAAATTTATGATGGACACTGTCTGGTCACAACACTTTCTAGTCTCTCTGACAGTTTAAAACTGTGAGGCCACTAATCGAATAATTAGGGGACAATTAGACCATTGCTGAAGCCAGTCACTAACACCTACTGGGTACCATCATTCGTATATTGGCCACTGATGAGGCCCTCATTTTTCAAGAAAGAATTCATGACTGCAGTGATTGGCTTTAACAAATAAGTGAGGTTTCACATTACAAATGATAGTCAGCTTAGCACATTACAAACGATAATCAGATAGCTAAGCTGTCAGTCAAAGCTAGCTTGCCAATCACCACCTTAATGAACACTGAAGTAAAGTTGCATGTAGTTATTAGATTTATGCTAACGACCATCTGCAACTTCATAGCAATATTTATTAGGGCCCTGTATCGGAGATACGGGTGCCCTATAGTAATCACTCTGTCTGTCTGTCCGTCCACAAATTCTGTTCCTGGCTGATAACTTTGGTATTTATTGACCGATGTACATGAAACTTGATCAAGATGTTAAGGTCAAAGGTCAAGGTCATTAGGTTAAAAGGTCAAGGTCAAATTTTACATCTTTTCACTGATGAACATTTTGTTATGACATAATGAAGCAAGGTTGATCAGAATTAAACAAGGAGTCAACTGCCAAAGGTCAAGGTCATCAGTTCAGGGGTCAAGGTCAAATTTTGTAGCTTTTCACTGGTGAACATTTCACTATGACATTATGAAGCGAAGTTGTTCAGAATCAAACAAAGAGACACACTGAGGTAAAAAATCGATGTCAAAGGTCAAGGTCATTAGATTCAAAGGTCAAGGTCAAATTTGCATCTTTTCACTGATAAACATTTTGTTATGACATGATGAAGCAAAGTTGATCAGAATTAAACAAGGAATCAACTGACCTTAGGTCCAGGTTACGGGTTCCAAAGGGTCAAGGTCATGTTTTGTATTTTTCACTGATGAACAATTTGTTATGATATCAAGAAACAAAGTTGGTCGGAATTAAAGAATAAGTCATCTGACCAAAGTTCAGGGTCACTAGGTTAATGGTCATGGTCATTTGGGTCCAAAGGTCAAAGACAAAGTAGATCTCTGACTTTCACCCTGGCTCTTGATGTAGGAGGTATATGAGGTGAAATAAAACAAATCAAAGCTAACAAATGAGTATTGTACTGGTATTTACATTTCTGTTAGCCGAGCAAATATGGAGGTGGAAGGAAACAAGACTCACATCATAGTACATGTAAAATGTATATTTTGCTTCCTTGCGATTCTTTTTGAAGTCAAAATGTCAAACGTCGAGCTCAGCTATATGGGCAGATTGCTTCTTGATGATTATGGGGGATATATTGCCACAAGACGGGGCCCTTACTGACCTGTCAGTGTTCTAGTATACTTAATATCTTGAACCAGACACCATATACTGTTACCTTTTTCCTGATGTACCCAAAGGTAATATTTTCATGGTAAATACAAAAATTAACCTGACAGTACTTGTTGAGTAAACAGTGATTTCTTAGTTTTCAAAATTACTCTTTATCTGATAATACTATTATAATGTTAAATAAAAGTTTAAAGTTTTAATATTATTTGGATCGAAAAATTTCAAAAATGTGAAATGTGGCACAAGCAAATTGAAATTGTGATTTTCTTCAAGTAACCAATTCCTCAACTAGTACATATGTACATATATTGAAAAATAATTTTACTATGGGCTATTTTTAGCCCACCATCATCTGATGGTGGGCTATTCAAATCACCAGGAATCCGTGGTCCATCCGTCGTCCGCCCTTAAACAATTCTTGTTATCGGTAGTCATCTGGAAGTACCAGAGGGATCTTTGTCAAATTGCATATGTAGGATCCCCTTGGTCTCTAGCAGTGCAGGGCAACTTTTGAGACTGATCAGATAATCAACATGGCTGACAGGCAGCCATCTTTGATTTTGATAGTGAAAGTTTGTTATCGCTATTTCTCGGGAAGTACGGGAGGGACCTTTCTCAAATTTCATATGTAGGTTCCCCTTGTTCCCTTGTTGTGCAGGAGTGCCTGAAATGGACAGTCTCCTGCTGGCCAATGGCAATTGAATTCTTGCTCGAGCAACCAAAAGTTGTCAAAAGTGAGGTAGTCACTGGCCCAACAAAAATAGTTTGGGCGACTGTCGAAAAATTACTGAATAAAAGAATTGGGGGGCAGTACAGTTTTCAGTTGTCATTACTTCGATTTGAATCAAACTGTCCGTGATTTAGAAAATGTGATTTTTTTTTCAGATTTTCTATATAAATACGGCCAGGGTGTCTTCTTTGAGGTGCAAGTTTTGTGTATTTCTTTGGGAAATACTAAAGACCTGAATGGAGTGGATCATGTCTGGTTTTAACTAGGGTTGAAGAATTAAAAATTTAATGTTATATTCTGGTTACATATTACAAACAATGTCATGTTATATGTAATTTAAATGTGCTGAAGCATTATGTTAAATGCTGTGGAAATATTTCTTCCCAAAATTATTTGGTCCACCAATATGTCATTTGGGCCAGTGCTTCAAATATTTTACTCGCCCCCAAAAAAATAATTTGGGCCAGCCAATATAGCAGGTTTCCCACTTTCCTTTATTGTTCATGTTTACCTTTGAAACTGATAAGTTAAACAGAATGGCCTACAGACAGCCATCTTCGATTTTTGACATTGAAGGTTTGTTAGTATTATTTCTCAGGAATAACTTGAGGGATCTTTTTCAAATTTAATATGTACTGGTTCCCCTTGATCCCTCGTTGTGCATGTTATATTTTGAGACTGATCATAAAAACGAAATGGCTAAAGGAAGACCTAAACAGATCTTTCTCATATTGCAATGATCAATTCTATTTCTTTCACATTAAGTACTGTACTAGTAAATATGTGAAATGACAAACTCACTTTGAAGGTTGGCTTTCATACACATCAGTATTAAGTTAAGATCAAAAGTTACCTCATGGTGCATTTACTGTTAACATGACTCGATCAAACAGATTATAGAGGAAAGAAGAGAAAAGATTGAACTGACAAGGAACTAATAAAGATGGTACAATGGTGGGGGCCAAGATTCCTCTGGGAACTCTTTGTTTTTTCATGTCCTTTATGCATACTTTGATTTTATTTTCAACATCAGTGTGTGAATTAAAAGGTTTCCAAATCAATAATATGAATTTATATCAGTTATTGATCAAAATAAATTGGTGAAGAATATAAAATAACAAATTTCTGAAAAATAATACATGGCAGCACCATCAAAATCTAGCTCATTATCTGGAAGTCAAACACACTCTTTAAAAACCATAAACTCACTTTCAGTGTTAAGTAATGGTTGACATGTATGTGATTATTAATTGATATTAATTATCAACAGAAACTAGATAACACAGATTTTAAGCCCACCATCATCAGATTACAGGCAATTCAGATCGTCTTTTTTCTGTTGTATAAGTTCCCCATTGGTCATTAGTTGTGCCTATTTACATTTAAGACTGATTAGATAAACGGCCTTGTTGGAGGTTTGTTATCACTATTTCTTTACCCTGGGGAGGGGGTAAACTTTACTATAGTTTATATAGGAAATCACATTTTGGACCAGCATTTGTTTCATTTCTATTGGAATTAATTCAAACTAGGTTAGCATTATCAGTATTGGATAGCAGTTTGATGGTATGCACATATCAGCCCTGACTGACCCCCAAGGGCTGATGGGTCTGGCCAAAAAGGGTCGAATTGACTGAAATTTCAAAAATCTTCTTCTCAAGACCCAGATATGATAGAATCAAATCCTCTTTATATATATGGAAGGGTCTTCAGGTGCTTTACCAAAATTCAGCTGACTGACAGAACCACTATTTGTACATAGTACATATACTACCCAGATCTTTCACACTACTTTTGCATTACATGTTGTTCAAGTTACCTTTGTTACAAAATGATTTCTTTTTCATTTGGCAACATCGATAACATCAGTTTTTACATAAATCAGGTGACCGTTAAGGCCAATGGGTATCTTGTATAAGTTAGTTTCCCTTGACCCCTTGTTAAAAATAACCCTTAAGTATTTATAGGTCACTTGCCCTTATGCAATGGTGAGGCATCTGTCGTCCGTCTGTCTGTCCAGCGTCAACTTTTTATTTCAAACAACCTCTCAGTAACCAAAAGGCCTAAGATGATGATATTTAGCAAGTAGCATGCTGGGATGAAGGGGTCAAATATGTTAAAATCTTTTAACAATTTCTTCTGAATTACCAAGAAGCCTAGGGTGATGATATTTGACCAGTAACATGCTGGGATGAAGGGCTACCATTTGTTCAAAAGAATGACCTTGACTAATATTCAAGGTCACATGGGTCAAATATGTTTAAAACATTTAAACAACTTCTTCTGAATAACCAAGACGGTGATACTATTTGACAAGTAACATGCTGGGATGAAGGGCTACTAAGTTTGTTCAAATGAATGTCCTTGAATTATACTCAAGGTCACAGGGGTCAAATATATTGTTAACTGTAAAAGACTTCTTCTTTTATAACCAAAAGGACCACAGTGATGATATTTGGCCAGAAGCAAACTGGGATAAAGGGCTACCAAGTTTGTTCAATTGAATGACCTTCATCCATTTACAAGGTCATAGGGGTGAAATATGTTGAACACTTTAAAAAACTAGTCCTTAAAAATGGATTCCCTGCTTAACGTTCAGCATTTAGGGGAATGACAGCAACTGGTTCACCCGTTGTCAGTATAATGTGACTGGGGGAATGCTGTGCTGGGTGCCTTCGGCATGGCATTTCAGTGAGATTGCACTATCACAAGGAGGCACGCACACCAACATACCAGCTGTGTCCAGCATACACACACTGAAGCACGCATACACTACACACATGGAGGCACGTTCTTAAATGACCTTAGCTGTTAATAGGACGTTAACAAAACTAAACCAAATCGAGCCAATCCAGGGTAATTTGGCCAGAAGCATGCTGGTATGAAAGTCTATAAAATCTGCTCAACTTAATGTCCTTGCTTGACTTTCAGGTCACATGTGTCACATGATTTTTTGCATTTTGCATTATACAGTAGTAATGTTATTCTACTCTACAATAACATTTGCCATAGTGGCATGCCAATAACATATGACACTATGAGGTTTTAAGTTAATGTACAAGATTCCCATTTAGGATTCCTAATGGGACTGGGTAATAGTACACGTAAGGAAAATGGAGAGCAAAGAAGTTTAAAGATAATCTTGTGTAGACAGTTGGGGATAAAAATTCTTTCATGGTGGGCACTAAGATCCTTCTTGGATCTCCTGTAATTTAGTTTCACTGAGACACAAACCAACATATTCTGTACTACATATAATTTGAATTTGAGATTTTGATTTTGTTTACAATATTGAATATTAATATAATCTGTCTGTTACGTTTTAACAGTTTTTGAAGAATATCGCATTTGCTTGCCTTAGTGGAGAGGTAAGCACTTTATATTGTTACTATATTTATCTTTGGATAAATGAAAAGATATTCCATTCCATATTATTTACTTTTTTATTTGGTCCAAAGGGTCAAACAACTTTTACATTTTTGGTTTACACTTCCTAAGAACCAGGGATTGGAAATCTTTTCAAGTTTTGAAGAATTGTCCTTTGTGGAAAAAATAATTTGCTGAAAGATTTTATTTTTTTGTCTGAATCTAAATAAAACAGCAACAAAAGAAAATCACATGATTATGAAGCTTTGATTATGTTGTTTTGACCAATCAAGTTTATGTACACTGAAGTGTAAAATATGTAGGATTTGGCAATGAATCGCCTTTGATTCCATATATGCTAAACATTTCATTTAGTACCAAAACAATTTACTTTTAATGATTTTTTTTGTGACATGAATGTTTCTTTGTTTATATGATTATTTTCTTTTCATTCTCAGCATTGAAAACTGTTAACTGTTAAGGCCCTATTGGGTCTTTTGTTATTTTTTTGCAGAGTCTAGATTTGAACAGTAAAGAGATAAAACTTTTTTTTGGAGATTTGAAAGAGGTAAGTATCTCAATATAATATCGTACACATACATGTACTTTGCAGCCAATCAGGGCTATGTTCCTCAAATATGTACAAAAAAATAAATGAAGAATAGTACAGTTACTGTAGCAAAAGATCAAAAAAGAATCATAGACAAACATATACAGTTCAATAAAGAAGAACATTTAGAGAGAGAAGTGGTTAGAAAAAAGACCAGGAGCAATATCAGTGTATGGTTAGAAAAAAGACCAGGAGCATTGTCAGTGTATGGTTAGAAAAAAGACCTTGAGCATTGTCAGTGTATGGTTAGAAAAAAGACCTGGAGCAATGTCAGTGTATGGTTAGATAAAAGACCAGGAGCATTGTCAGTGTATGGTTAGAAAAAAGACCAGAAGCAATATCAGTGTATGGTTAGAAAAAAGACCTGGAGCATTGTCAGTGTATGGTTAGAAAAAAGACCTGGAGCAATGTCAGTGTATGGTTAGAAAAAAGACCAGGAGCAATGTCAGTGTATGGTTAGAAAAAAGACCAGGAGCAATGTCAGTGTATGGTTAGAAAAAAGACCAGGAGCAATGTCAGTGTATGGTTAGAAAAAAGACCAGGAGCAATGTCAGTGTATGGTTAGAAAAAAGACCAGGAGCAATGTCAGTGTATGGTTAGAAAAAAGACCTGGAGCATTGTCAGTGTATGGTTAGAAAAAAGACCTGGAGCAATGTCAGTGTATGGTTAGAAAAAAGACCTGGAGCAATGTCAGTGTATGGTTAGAAAAAAGACCAGGAGCATTGTCAGTGTATGGTAAGAAAAAAGACCAGGAGCATTGTCAGTGTATGGTTAGAAAAAAACCCAGGAGCAATATCAGTGTATGGTTAGAAAAAAACCCAGGAGCAATGTCAGTGTATGGTTAGAAAAAAGACCTGGAGCATTGTCAGTGTATGGTTAGAAAAAAGACCAGGAGCACTGTCAGTGTATGGTTAGAAAAAAGACCAGGAGCAATGTCAGTGCATGGTTAGTAAAAAGACCAGGAGCATTGTCAGTGTATGGTTAGAAAAAAACCCAGGAGCAATATCAGTGTATGGTTAGAAAAAAGACCAGGAGCAATATCAGTGTATGGCTAGAAAAAAGACCAGGAGCATTGTCAGTGTATGGTTAGAAAAAAGACCAGGAGCAATGTCAGTGTATGGTTAGAAAAAAGACCAGGAGCAATGTCAGTGTATGGTTAGAAAAAAGACCAGGAGCAATGTCAGTGTATGGTTAGAAAAAAGACCAGGAGCAATGTCAGTGTATGGTTAGAAAAAAAACAGGAGCATTGTCAGTGTATGGCTAGAAAAAAGACCAGGAGCAATGTCAGTGTATGGTTAGAAAAAATGACCAGGAGCAATGTCGGTGTATGGTTAGAAAAAAGTTTTTAGCGAATAAAATTGTTTTACGTATTTGGCAGTCTGTCCGTCTGTCCACACACACTTTGGCTTCCACTAGATAACTTGCTTACCGGTAACTATTGTTCGATTTTGATGAGACTTGCTACACATGTACATATCTTATAAAGCTAATAAGAATAATGAGCTCTAATTGGTCAATTTCCAAACTTTCAATCAATCTTTAATTTAAATGGTGAAGGTTTGTTATCACTATTTCTCAGGAAGTAATGGAAGGATCTTTCTCAAATTTGATAGGTTAGATCCCCTTGGTCAGTGGGTGTGCATGTTTATTTCTCAAAAAGCGCTTGACTAATATTTGAAGGTTCCCATTGGTCCATAATTTGCATGTATTATTTTGAGACTTAAACAGGCATTCATCTTGGATTTTGACATTTCAAGAATTTAGTTATCACTATTTCCCATGAAGTACTTAACAGATCTTTCCCATATTGCAATGATCGTTTTATTTCTTTCACATTAAGTACTATACTAGTAAGTACGTGACACTACAAACTGACTTTGAAGGTTGTTTTTTCTACACAGCAGTATGAAGTTTAGATCAAAAGCTACCTCAGGGTGCATTTACTGTGTACATGACTCAATCAAGCAGATAAGAGAAAATATCAACGTGACATAGAACTTAATATGAAGATGGTATGATGATTACTTGTATATCCATAAGGAGTATTACAAGCCCTCTAGGCCTCTTGTTCAATGATTTTCATGAGAGTGAATAAAATGCTTTTTCAAAGTCAATAAATAATATCATTCCAGGTAAATAATTTTCCTGTGTTAATTGCATTACGTCACAAATCAGTTTGGAATTTTCGCTGATATTAGCACTCTGACATAAATTATGTTTAATCATTGAAGCAAGGGTTAAACTGTAACCATTTATGTGAGTTCCTGCTTACTTCATTTTATCTTTTGCAGAGTAGACAGAGTAAACAGAAGCTTCAAAACACCTATGAAAAGGTAAAAGTCTTACACAGGATATACATTCTATGGAACAAATCAATATCCGCCCAATTGGATCATCAGGACTACTTTATTGTCTGAGGGCATTGATCCTCATGTGCACATGGTATCAGCGACTACAGGTTTTGTTACTCATAAGTGAACCCTTGAAATACTTTCAATTGGTTTCCTGTTGAAAAAACTGCCTCTTAAATCTGTTATATTCTGTATCATATAGAGTACTATTTTACGATAAAACTTGACAAAATTTACATATTAATGTGTTTTTACTCTTGCATACCCATATGTCAAAGTTTAATGAAATTCTAGGCATGTCCTTATCAGATCTAGAGATAGTCATACATTTGAATTGCAATGAAATTATGGTTGTTTATATTTTCTCAGTATAGTACATTGATTTTCTTGTGTTTACCGGAATCAGGTCAGGATCCCTCACACACTATGAACTACAAGCCATACTATGGATATGTGGTAATGTTTTCAGGTTAACCACAAATCAGAAAAGTTTGAGTGCTTGAAGCTTAATATTTTGATAGGTACAGAGATTTTTATCTCACCTGCCCAAATGGCAATTGAGATTATGCTGTGGCACGTTGTCAGGTGCACCTGGCTGTCCATCGTCTGTCAATTTTTAGTCCCCTACCTGTGAAACGCGGGATATATGGTTTTGTCTGCATCTGTCTGTCGGTCCGTCGATCCTGCATCTGTCTGTCTGTCCGTCAATCTGTCCGTCAGTTTTCCGTCTGTTACCTTAGGTTAAGGTTTTGTAATGGCTTACCACTCGCTTCATAATGATGTTAGGATGTTGATTCATTGCATAGTGGTTCTATAGGGGTCCAGCATTAATGCTGTGGATTGAAAATGTATATTTTTTATTTACCCCTCCGGTATGTTTTTTGCAATTTTCGACATGCTATCCACTTAACTGTCTTGGCCAAAACCTGCAGGTTAAAGTTTCAGTTAAAGTTTAGTTTTGTAATGGCTCATCGTTCACTTAATAATAGTGTAAGGATACTGATTTTATGTACAAAGGTTCTTTAGGGGTCTAGCATTAATGTTGTTTAGTGACAGTTGAATTTTTTTATTTTTATTTTTATTTTTGACATGTTTTCATCTTAACTATCTTGGCCAAAATCTGCAGATTGGGGGGGGGGGGGGGCAGTAGGGGACATGTATTGATTCATCAATAACCACAGAATGCTTGTTTTATTTAAAAAATGTAATTTTGCTTGTAATCTGTTAATAAACAATGGCTGTTACCAATTAGTACCAGTGTTTACTGTCTACTGTGTTACAATAAGCATCAACCCCACCTAGCTTATTTTTCCTATGTGATAAATGTTCGGAGGCAGAGGAGTTGAGCCACGAACCATCCAATTTTGCCCAGTGTTAAATTTTCTTAAAAATTGACACATATATACTGCAAATGCTTACCCTTCATAAAATAATGTTATTATCTGGAAAACACCAATTGCGTTGCATGCCATGGCAACCACTAACAAGAGAAATGTGCAATAAAATCACATTTTTTTCTGATTTTTGTCAATATTTCAGCCCACTTGCTGCGTCTGTTCATCTTTTCACCATTTAATTTATTACTCATTGTTATTCATTGTTGTTTAGTGACAGTGGAAAAATAGTTATAGTTTTTTTGAATTTTTGACATGTTTTGGACTTACAAAGAGTAGTTATTAATTATCACTTTTGTGTTTATGAAGTAATTTGGCCAAAACATAGTGGCAATGATGACACAAGGTCCTGAACAGTTAGTTTTTATTTTCTTAGAGCCAATTTGAAATAGCTTATAGTAAAAAACAGTGTTGTAAGGTGTTATAGACGTAGTGCCTTTTACAGTGTCTGTTCATCTTTTCACCATTTAATTTATTAGTCAATGTTATTCATTGTTTATGATTCAGGGTCATGGGCATCTTGCCATATTGACATCATATTTATATGTTGTTTATTGGGTTATTTATTTGTTTATTTCAGGTGCAAAGCAATTTGAATGAAATCGAAAAAGAAATACAAAGTGGAGTAAGTTATGTTTTTATTAGCTCACCTGGCCCAAAGGGCCTGGTGAACTTATACCGTGGTGCGGCGTTCGGCGTCCGGCGTCAATATTTTACTTTCAACAACTTCTTGGTATTGGGCCTGAAGCATGCTAGGATGAAGGGCTACCTACTTTGTTCAAATGAATGACCTTGACCCACTTTCAAGGTCACAGGGGTAAAATGTCATAAAATCTTCAAACCACTTCTCAATAACCAAAATACCCAGGGTACTGATATTTGGCCTGTAGCATGCTGGGATGAAGGATTACCAAGTTTGTTCTAATTAATTACCTTGACCTACTTTCAAGGTCACAGGGGTCAAATATGTTAAAATATTCAACAGACTTTTTCTCAATAACTAAAAGGCCCAGGGTACTGATATTGGGCCTGTAGAAAGCTGGGATGAAGGGCTAACAAGCTTGTTCAGATGAATGTCCTTGACCCACTTTTAAGGTCATGGGGTTCAAATGTCGTAAAAATTTTAAGCAACTTCTTTTCAATAACCAAAAGGCACAGGGTACTAGTATTTGGCCTGTAGCATGCTGGGATGAAGGGCTACTAAGGTTGTTCAAATGAATGTCCTTGACCAATTTTCAAGGTCATGGGGTCAAATGTTGTAAAATCTTCAAACCACTTCTCAATAACCAAAAGGGTTAGGGTACTGAAATTGGGCCTGTAGCATGCTTGGATGAAGGACTACCTAGTTTGTTCAAATGAATGACCTTGACCCAGTTTCACCCAAGGTCACAGATGTCATAAGTTTAAATATTTTAAAAGGTTCTTATGAATCAAACACTGATATTCTGCCTGTTTCTGTATTTTAGTCCACTTTTAAGAAAACAAGCGTAAGATTAATATCAGGTGAGCGATGCAGGCCCATTGGGCCTCTTTTTAGTTCACCTGCCCACCTCAGTTTCTGTTATCTGGCCATCTTCCATCAACTTTTCCAGGAAATATTTGCTGTTAGGCAAGGAGATGCACTTTGGTTCTTGTACTCTAAATCACAGGAAAATGTGTTTTTATGTAAAAAGGCATTGTGGGATAAGTATGAAACTTTCACAAATTAAATATTATCATATAACTAAACTCTATGCCAAGTTACATGCTTATCCCCAAATACCTTTCATGTACAATCAGCGGATAAACATTGCAAATAAGCAGAACATTTGATAAAACAATGAAATCGGTTAACTTTAACGATTAAAGCAGATACTTTCCTTGAGGCTAGGAGACTTAAAATTACCAGAAAATCGAACTTCATGTATTAAATCAATTATTTTACAGTAGTTGTGGTTGCAAATGCCATTTTTGATTTGTAAGTTAACTTTGATAAGTAAAAAACAAATCAGGACCTGGAACTCAATTCAGCCACAGGTGTTGAGCAAATATTATATGATATATATATAATATACAATACTAACAATTGATATCTTATACTTATAGCATATAAAGGGTGTCATGCACCTTTTAATTCACTTAAAATTGAGAGATATTTGAAAAAGCCAAGTTTGAGATGTGTCCAGAAGCCATAACTCGGTATAAAACAAAAGGAAAGTATGTAGTCAATATGCAATTTATGTTAGTCTACTTTAATGAGTGAAGTTGTAAATTTCAAATCAGAATATTAATTAGAAAGGAAAACAAATTACTTTTCAATTGAAAATGACCAAACAGACCCCCCTGACGTAATCCTTTGTTTTATATAAACAATCTTTAAGTGACGATTGAATTTCTGTCATTTTTCATTCTGTTACATATGTTTGTCTAATTTATACATGTTTTCAAAAACAGAAATGGTATTATTTTGGTTTTTAAGCTCATTTTGAAAACAGCAAACTATATTTGTGATTTACCATACCCCTTTTGGTACCCCCTGAAACCCACTTTCAGTCAAAGTTTTACCTTTGTTTTTCTGTATGTCATACAATAGGACATCTTTAAACAAAATAAGGAGGTGAAAATCTGAATATACCGGGCCCCAAAAAAGGGCCTTATAGACACCCTTCCTTTACATGTCCAATATTTTTAGCTCACCTGACCCAAAGGGCCATATGAGCTTATGCCGTACTGCGGCGTCCGTCGTCTGGCATCCGTAGTCCGTAGTCCGTCGTCCGTAGTCCGTCGTCCGTCATCCGTATGTCAACTTTTTCTTTTGAACGACTTCTTCTGAAGAACTGTAGGACCTAGGGTAATGATATTTGGCCAGTAGGTACCTGGGATGGAGTGCTATAAAGTTTCCTCATTAAAATGACCTTGACCTACTTTCCAGGTCACAGGGGTCAAATATGTGAAAATTTTCGAACAACAATTTCCTAGGAACCATTTGGACTAGTGTCATGATACTTGGATATGTTATGTAGACCATCAGTGCAAATCTTTTTCTCGATTACAGTAATGATGTCAAAGGTCAACTTTATGTGCAAGTCGGGAGTCAAAGGTCAATATGAGTTAAAAGCTTTAACATTAAAATTTCAAGTTTCAAACAACAATATCTTCAGAACCATTTAAGAGATGTTAAAATGTCTTGTGTTCTAGTTACCAAATTTGGTCTTAAGATACCTATATGTCAGTTGCATGTCACAAAAGAAACAGGTGAGCGATACAGGACCTTTGGGCCTCTTGTTTATAAATAGATGAAAGCTTATTTTGAAACAATAATTTTATTTAATTTGTTATCGTTAGGTTAGTAATTCATCCATCCAGTCTCTTGTAAGCAGACTGTCTCGGACGTCAATGCCTGGCCTTTTAATGAATTGTTTTAAGGGGTTATTTTTAGGTCACCTGAGCTTTGCTCAAGTGACCTATTCTAATCGCTTTCCGTCCATCGTCGTCCGTTGTCGTCAATCGTCGTCCGTTGTGCGTAAACTTTTCACATATTCAACTCCTCAAGAACCAGTGGATGGATTTTTTTCAAACTTCGTCAGAATCATCCTTGGTAGATGAGGCTACAAAATTGTAAAATTGGAATTCCTATCCCAACCCCTGGGGCCTGGGCGGGGCCCCTAAGGGAAAATTAACCAATATTTCAAAAATCCTCTTCTCCAGACTCAAAGGTTACTACAGTCATTTTCTCTGCATGGAAAGAAAGATCATCAGGGGCTTTACTTAAATTGTAAATTTCAGGACCCCCAAGCTATTCGTTCTCCCTTCGGGAGGGGGTGAAGTTTACTATAGTTTATATAGGGAAATAACACTTTTGGGTATATTTTGACAACTTTCTGTAGGAAATTATTTTTACTTGGTGAGAATTATCCTTGGAGAAAGATGGTTTCAAATTGTAAAATTGAAATTCCTACCCCAACCCTTGGGGCCAGGGCAGGGCCCCAAAGGGAAAATTAACCCATATTTTCAAAGTTTTCTCCTCCAGACTCAGGTACTACAATCATTTTCTCTGCATGGAAAGAAAATCATCAGGGGCTTTATTTAAATCGTAAATTTCAGGACCTTCGAGCTATTCATTCTCCCTTGGGGAGGGGGTAAAGGTTACTATAGTTTAAATTGGGAAATAACACTTTTGGGTGTATTTTATCCATTTTCTGCAGAAAATTACTCAAACTTAGTCAGAATCATCTTTGGTGAATGAGGGTATTACTTTGTAAAATTGGGATTCCTGCCCCCTCCCCAGGGGCTAGGGCGGGACCCCAAATGGAACATTTACCAATATTTTCAAATTCTTATCCTTTGATGACATGACAAGTATTGTATTTCACTTAGTTTACATGCTGATTTCCACATCACATCTAAACAATAAAATAAAGCTACCAGTACCTATGATATAACTCAGGTGACCGCTAAGGCCCTTGGGCCTCTTGTTTAACTGTAATATTAGTCCCCCACCAGTTTAAGGGGTTTGCACTCTGTCCATCTGTCCTTCCGCCCTTACGTCGGTCCTTCCTTCTGTCCTTTTTTCCGTCGAAGAAGTTTGTCTGGGACATATATATATTCTATACTATTTCACCTGGATTCACCATATTTGGTATACAAGGACATCTTGGGATGGGGGTGTGCAGAGTGCAAGAAGAATGTCACTGACCTCACTGTGACCTATGCTTTGACCTTTGACCTTAACTTTTGAAAATGTTTGTCCGGGGCTTATCTTCTATACTATTTCACCTTGAGTAAACAGACTTGCTGTACAAGAACATCTTGAGATGATGGATTGCAGAGTGCAAGAATTAGGTCACTGTGGCCTATGACTTGACCTTTGACCTTCACTTTTGAAAATGTTTGTCAGGGGCATTTCCTCTAGATACTATTTCACCCGGAGTAACCAGATTTGGTGTACAAGGACATATTGGGATGTCGGAGTGCAAGAAGTGGATCACGATATCCTCACTGACCTATGCTTCCTGACATAAGTGTACTGTTTGTTAAATATAGAAATCATCACTGATGGGGACTAGGGATTGCCTTGCAATAATCTGCCTTGTTATAATGGGGATTATTTACTGTTAAATTGCAGTGATGGATTTATTTATGTATTTATTTTTGTGTATGTGTTAATTGTTTAGGTTTTAATTCTTGAACTCTGAGTTACCTTCCTTCTTTGATAAAAAGAAAATGTTTATGCAAAAACGAGGTCCTTCAGTTCTAATCTAGTACATAAAATTATTCAATAAGTACCTAAATCCTTTATCTATCCCTTGTGCCTATCTTTGCCAGAGTTTCAGTTATTTTCACCAGACTTTTATTCTCAAAAATCATCTCAATTAATAGAAAGACCGCTAGTTTTCTACAAGCAATATTTTCCACCAAATGAAGAATCAAGTTTGTTTTCAAAAATTTTTGTTTGTTTCGTAAATGTTTAAATGTATCTCACTAATCTGCAGTCAATTTAGTTAATTATTTATTCATCTCCACTGGGAGGAAAAGGAGCAAACACATGCAAACAGTTTACAGAAACTCGGTCGTAAACCTTTTTGGCCATTTTTGCACTGTACATTAGTATGTTTCACCATAAAAACTCGGCATCACTGCCACATG